TTAACCAGGGGAACCTTCGTGCCATGCGTGATTTTTAAACTATGACGTCTTAGTACCCACAGTAACCATGGAAACAGTGGTGCCAGCTCTCTTCAGGTCATTAACCAGCTCCTCCTGTGTAGTTCTGGGCTGATTCCTCACCTTTCTTAGGATCATCGATACGCCACGAGGTGAGATCTTGCATGGAGACCCAGTCCGAGAGAGATTGACAGTCATGTTTAGCTTCTTCCATTTTCTAATAGTTGCTCCAAGCTGCTTGGAAATTGCCTCGTAGCCCTTTCCAGCCTTGTGGAGGTCTACAATTTAGTCTCTGGTGTGTTTGGACAGCTCTTTGGTCTTAGCCATGTTAGTAGTTGGAGTCTTACTGATTGTGTGGGGTGGACAGGTGTCTTTATGCAGCTACCGACCTCAAACAGGTGCTTCTAATTTAGAATAATGAGTGGAGTGAAGGTGGACGTTATAGAGGAGGACTAACAGGTCTTTGAGGGCCAGAACTGTTGCTGATTGGCAGGTGTTCAAATACTTATTTTCAGCAGTAACACACAAATAAATTATTTAAAAAATCATACATTGTGATTTCCGGATTTTTCTTTTAGATTATGTCTCTCACAGTGGACATGCACCCGAGATGAAAGATTCAGACCCTCCATGATTTCTAAGTGGGAGAACTTGCAAAGTCGCAGGGTGTTCAAATACTTATTTTCCTCACTGTATATATGTATATATATATATATATGTGTATATGTATGTGTATATATATGTGTATATATATGTGTATATCCATCCATCCATCCATTTTCTTTACCCGCTTATTCCATTTTGGGTCACGGGGGTCGCTGGTGCCCATGTCCAGCAATCACTGTGCGAGGGGCGGGGGACACCCTGGACGGGTCTCCTGTCCATCACAGGGACACATAGAGACAAACGAGACAAACAAACATTCACTCTCTCACTCACACCTAGGGACAATTTAGAGTTACCAATCAGCCTAACATGCATGTTTTTGGTCTGTGGGAGGAAACCGGAGTACCCGGAGAAAACCCACGCATGCACGGAGAGAACATGCAAACTCCACCCAGAAAGGCCCCTGGACCGGGGTTTGAACCAGGGACCTGCTCACTGAGAGGCAGCAGCTCTACCAGTTGCGCCACCACGTGCTGCCCCTCTTTTATTCACTATATTCAATTAATTATTACAGCTGCTGAGCATAAAAATGTAACATGTTTTAAACACTGCATTACATTCCCACTGGAAAAAACAACAACTTTTCAACAAACTGTTGACCAGAAGAACAAAACACAAGAAATCTAACCTCTTTCTCTAGTGTGTTTATCTGGAAATGACAGATACAGATTGCCCTAGTGGGCAATTTTTATTATTATTATTATGATTATTACTTTTTTTTAATTTTTGCTTTTTTTAAAATGTTGTTCTCTCCAGCTTTCTGGGGCTCCCTAGGGGGCCGTGGCCCCCACTTTGAAAAACACTGGATTAGACATTGGCATTTCAATCATTAGAATTCAACCACAGAACAACACTGATTCAATTTTTTCAACATTGGTTAATTGGCTAGAACTGGACGATTGATTAAAGATTGATAAATCAATAGTCAACCTTAACCAAAAATCAACCTTTCTGACAATAATTCAGCATTGAATTAACATTTTTCGCTATCTGGGCCTTTACCCTCAGCAAGAAGGTCAGAGTTGAAGGAGTGAACTTTACATTCAGCATGAAGGTCAGGGGGTGACCTTTATCCTTAGCGTGAAGGTCAGAGATCAGGGAGTGACCTTTACCCTCAGCATGAAAGTCAGAGGTCAGAGAGGGTCCTTAACTCAGCATGAAGGTCAGAGGTCAGTTAGTGAACCTCAGCATGAGGGTCAGGAAAAGACTTAGTTAAAAAGTGTTTGATCTGAATGTTTTCTACCTTGCAGTCAGAATCTTTGGAGGATCCATTTTCTTCGGAGATCCACTTCCCCCTCTCTCTGACCTTGGAGCCTGTAGTGACAGCGGAAGAGGAGGAGCCTGACGGGAGCGTCGCTGACAACCGCAGTGATACGGCGGTGGTCTCCTGTGATCACAACTACACAGCGGAGGACTCAGCGCAGCAGAAGAAGCGCATTGAGCAGCTTGAGGAGCAGTTGGAGGTCCTGAGGAAGAAGCTGAAGACCACACAGCAGAAGTGTCGGCGCCAGGAGCGGCAGCTGAAGAGGCTGAAGACCACCTGCCAGGCACCCAAAGCAGGTCGTGAGCCAGCGCTGACGTTCGCTGGAGAATATGTGATTTTACCCAAACACATGTACAGCACATTGAAAGGGATCGAGTGATGACGAGGGGCGGGGTTAAACTGCTGGAGTCTGACCCAACCCTGACGGGTCCTGACAATGCCCCCTCTAAGCTGTGAGCTTGCGCAGTCGCGCAATGCTCACATAATTGCGCACTGCTTGCACATTCTCAGCGCACAAGAAAAATCTATGCCAGGCATAAAATAAAATTCAACAAACTGTAAATTAACTAGACAAATAACATTTTTTCTGTACCATTTTGCAATGTAACAGTGAGTGACAGGTGTCCAGACAATGATACGGTTCATTTCACTATGCAGCCAATCATAGCATTGACAGTGCTTGCATTACACAAGTAACAGCCACGCAAGTTGTGTATGTGCCCTGCCCATACGCGCCATGGCGCCGTGCAGGTTAGCTGGGTAACAGTCGTGCGGTGGAGTTGAGAAACGCAAATGCTAAACCAGGGGTGCCCAATATGTTGATCGCGATGTACCGGTTGATCGTGAAGGCAATTTCAGTAGATCGCATGGCGAAATAGACGTCAGACTTATAAAAAAAAGTATTATTTTTTTAATAGACGTCAGCCTATCAATCCATCATCACTATGCAATTTGTCACTTGATTGACATACAGGTTAGCCATTCTGGGACCGACCTTCTCTTATGCATAGGTCACTACGCATGCAAAAGCGAGCTGAGAAAGAAAACAGTGAAGGAACTAAAATCCCGGTTATCCAGAAAGCAGTAATTTTTCTTACAGCTGACCACAGCAGCAAAGTGTCATTCCGGGTAAGTCACTTTAATAATTGTTGAGCACAAGAAGGCTTTTCAAGAGGGAGAGATGGTTTGTTGAAGCAGCTGACTCGTTTCGAGACATTAAAAACAAACCAGAAATATTATCTTCCGTCAAAGCTCTCCAGGTATCAAGAGATACGGTTATAGTTAAAAGCAGCTGCTGTCAGGGCTGAATTTTCATTTTTCTCAAGTTCTCAGGTTATATTTCAAACATGAGGTTATTGTTGTTTTCAGCTCCTTTGTGTGAAGAACAGAAGTTATTGCTGTGATTTGTTTATTATTTTGTATGCGGACAGTAAAAATAAATTGTCGCTTTTTTTTAAACAAACTTTTGGGTTTTTCATTTATGTCGCATCCACAATATTCATTTAACTTTTATTTATACAGATTAGGCTCATTGAGTCATGAGGACTCATTTACACGAGATAAATGTTTTAGACAGACAACATATAAAGTACAGACAATAATAAACTACAATAAAATGCAATTAAAATAAAAGTGGCATTATAAAACAATAAATCAAGGTGCCATATAAAACAAGGTAAAATACTAAAAACGAAAGTAAAACAAAAAGCACACTTTGTTTATAAATGAGTATATGTTTTGTATTTTTATAGTAGGTAGATCACTTGGACTTGGTCATTTTAAAAGTAGTTTGCATGCTGAAAAAGTGTGGGTACCCCTGTGCTAAACCCTTATAATGGCAAAGCAAACAAGCAGTACTTCCACTCACCAAGCCAAGGTAAAAAAGAAATGTGGTTCTTTTAAAATGGAATGGCTGTCGGAGTATGTGCAAACAGAACCAGCGGTGGAACTGGGTGAGATTTGTTTCTTTTTAGAGTGAAAAAAAGGTCTGCTCTGCAAAGCATGCCGCAAAGCCAAAGTAGTGAGATGGTGTATTTTGAATTTACCTCAAGTGTTTCCCCTACCATTATACAAGCGGAGCGCCCCGACCCGTCAACAGAACCCCGCCCCCACCCCAAACCACCTGTCGGCACTAACGTAACACTAAACTGGCAGCTCGCAATGCAGTTGTGCTAGCTAAAAAGCTAAAGGCAGCCTCTTCCCTCATGCTGAACCCTCAGGCTGAACGCACCCCCGCCACTCTAAAACTGTCTCTGTATCTCTCACACACCTTGCTCTAAAACTGTAAAACACGGTGCAAACAGCACGTGGGCTGTCTTTGTGTGCCCCCCCCCCCCCCCCCCCCCCCCCCCCCCCCCCCCAAAAAAAAAAATTTAAATTAAAAAAATGTTGGTTTAAACAGCACGCTACGCAACTTAGAATGTATCCCTCCCCCCCCACCCCGGGACAAAAATCACAGATGAGATGAGCTCCCCGCCATGGCAAGACATCTAGGGGAAACACTGTACCTGATCTGATATTTCTGGCTCAGACTGTAGTGACATTACTCTTTTTATTAGTAAGCTCTGTGATCACATGGATGCAAGTGTTGTTCAATACCAGGATTTCCCTTCCTATTTATAAATATAAATATATCTAGTTATCGGCAATACCATTATTTCCTCCTGCTTTTTCTCTTTGTCCTGTGTAACAGAGCCTCTCTTCACACATATTCCGTCCATCCATTTTCTTCCGCTTATCCGGGGTCGGGTTGCGGGGGTTCAGAATCAGAATGCCTTTATTGTCATTATACGCAAGTACAATGAAATTAAGAGCCACTCCTTTTTTCAGTGAAAAAACACGCCTTAAGAAAAACACACACTAAAAATATAAAAAATGTAACGCAATATAGATATAATAGCACTATGAAAGTAAAAAATACAAGTATTTCACAAGTATATTGCACAATATGGATATTAGTGAGGTAGTTAAGGTGACTGAGGGTATGAAATGTCAGTAGTATTGCACAATAGAAGTCCAGGGGTCTGGGAGGTTAGATTATTAAATCAGTGCATGTGTGAGTTCAGTGTGGTGATGGCTTTCGGGAAAAAACTGTTCTTGAATCTGTTTGTTCGTGTTCTGATGCACCTGTAGCGCTTCCCTGAAGGTAACAAGTCAAACAGTTCAAAACCCGGGTGTGAACAGTCCTTGATTATGCTTTCTGCTCGGTTGAGGCAGCGTGATGTGTAAATGTCCATCAGGGAGGGGAGAGGGCAGCCAATTATCTTTTGTGCTGTCTTGAGGTCTTGTCTCTGAAGCCTCTCCCTGTCAGCCAGGGTGCAGCTGCCGTACCATACTGAGATACAGTATGTCAACAGGCTCTCGATGGACAAGCGGTAGAAGGTCAGCAGCAATTTGGTGTTCAGGTTGTGCTTCTTAAGTACTCTTAAGAAGTGTAGTCTCTGCTGTGCCTTCTTGATACCATACCATACCATACCAATTTATTTATATAGCACTTAAAACAGCAACAAGGCCAACCAAAGTGCTGTACAAAAGAACCAAACATGCACAGCAGACAGGAAAACATAAAATAGAAATAAAGATACAAATAGCAGCAGAAGCTAACTAAAATGGCCAACAAAGTAGAGAACAGACCGGACCAAAACAAATCACACTGTGTTAAAGGCAAGCGAATAGAAGTGGGTCTTCAAGCGAGACTTAAAGACTGAGAGTGTGGGAGCCTGCCGGACACTCAGTGGCAACTCATTCCACAGTCGTGGACCTGCAACAGAGAAAGCCCTGTCACCTCTGAGCTTACGACGGGTTTCTGGGACTGAGAGAAGCATCTGGTCTGCTGACCTCAGAGAGCGCGGTGGGACATATGGCTGCAGAAGATCAGTGAGATAGGATGGGGCGGAACTGTTCAGTGATTTAAAAACATACATGAGAATTTTGAAATGGATCCGAAGGTGAATGGGTAGCCAGTGCAGGGAGGCCAAAACTGGCGTGATGTGCTCTCTTTAGCCTGTACCAGTTAAAAATCGGGCTGCAGCATTTTGGACCAGTTGTAGACGAGCAATGGAGGACTGACTGATTCCAAACAGAAGTGAATTGCAGTAATCAAGCCTAGATGTTATGAAGGCGTGGATCACTGTCTCAAGGTTCTTTTTGGAGAGTATAGGCTTCAGCTTAGACAGCCGTCTCAGCTGAAAAAAACAGGATTTGACCATCATGTTTACGTGACTGTTGAGTTTTAAGGACGGGTCCATTATCACCCCCAGATTAGTGACCTTTTGTTTCTCTAGCGGGGCTAGAGAGAAAAGGTCAATGTCATGGTTCATGATTGAGCCACTGGGATGGAACAGCATGACTTCAGACTTCTTCTCATTGAAGCTTAAGAAGTTTAAAGCCATCCAGTCCCGGATGTCAGCCAGGCAGTCAAGAAGAGGCTGAATAGAGCATGTGCCTCTGTGCCTCAGGGGGAAGTAAATTTGGCAATCATCGGCGTAGAAATGAAAGGGTATGTCGTGTTTGCGGAAGATAGCACCTAGTGGCAGCAGGTATAAAGAAAAGAGAAGGGGACCGAGGATGGACCCCTGCGGTACACCCCACTGGAGCGCTGTCGATGCCGAACTAAAATCTTTGATATTGACACAGAAGGTTCTGTCAGAGAGGTAGGACCCAAACCATTTAAGGGCTGACCCTGTGATGCCCACCCACTGCTCCAGTCTAGAAATGAGGATGTTGTGGTCGATGGTGTCAAAAGCAGATGTAAGGTCCAATAGGACAAGCAGCACAGAATCACCTGCGTCTGTGGATATGAAAATGTCATTAAAAACCATCTGCAGAGCAGTTTCAGTGCTATGGAGAGATTTGAAGCCAGATTGGAATAACTCTAGGATAGCGTGATCCCCCAAAAACTGTTTCAACTGAGACTCCACAATTTTTTCCAGTAGTTTAGAGGTGAATGGGAGTCTGGAGACAGGCCGGAAGTTGGACATGACTGAGGGGTCAAGGTTAGGTTTTTTCAGGAGGGGCTGGACAGCAGCATGTTTAAAAGTCTTTGGCACCACACCTGAGGATAAACTGCTATTCAAAATAGCGAGGATAAAAGGACCCAGGGTAGGAAAAACTTCCTTTAGCAGTCGAGGGGGGACCACATCAAAGGGGGAACCAGATGGCTTCATGCTGCACATTACCTGCTCCAGAGAAGACAGAGAGATGGGCTCAAAGTGGTCAAACACAGCCACACACCGAGATGGGATGGACAGATCATGAGCTGGTGGAGAAATGATTGCCCGGGTGTTTGCCACTTTTTCTAAAAAGAAATGGAGGAAGTTTTCACACAGCTCAGTTGAGGCTTCCAGAGGTGAAGGCTCACTGAGGTGTAGAACTGAGTTCAGGGTGGAGAAAAGAACTCGGGGGTTGTGGGAGTTGGAGACAATTAAATCAGAAAATAATTTACATTTGGCAGCTTTAACGGTTTTCTGATAGTGACGTCAACTCTCCCTTAACATTTGAAAAGACACCTGCAGCCTGTCCTTCCTCCACCTTCGTTCAGCTCTGCGACACTG